CAGATCCTATGGACACAATCAGGAGCTCTGGAAAAAGAAAATTCCTAATCCTACATAAAGAACCCTAAAGCATGATCAGAAACTCTGCTTTGTCTGGAGTTCCAGATTATGCACAAAGGATGTCTACCTGTGTTAAACTGAATCGAGGAAGAGGTGATGGGTAGGCCAGCCCTTTTAAAAAAATAAAACGCACTGAAAAGTTTGGAAACTTTTTTATTGAACTTCCAGGAAACCCCAGACTGCCTAGCCTTGGTGGGTAGGGGATTCTGGGTGTTGTAGTTTTTTAAAAAAAGAAACAATATTTTCAAGTTTTGATGCAGGGGTCGGAAATCTCCTTGCCCTTCAAATTTCTGGACCTAGGGGGCTGAACAGGAATGGCCAGTGGTGGTAGCTCAAGATGCCCAGAGAGGTTGTGAGATTGTCATCCAAACATCTGGAGGAGTGATGTTCACTCCTTTGTGCAACATTGATAGGTTGAAGGGTTCCGGGATTCCGTTGTACAGAATTACACCATAAGGCTGCAAACCCAGCATAGGGTTGCAAACCCAACATAAGTTTGCAAACCCAACCTGGAGGAAGCCATCATTTACAGTGTACCCATATATCTAGGAGGAAACCCCATTGAGCTCCATGGGGTTTCTCCCCACATAGACAGGCATAGATTGGTGACTCCCTGCACCTGCCTTTTAAAGTATGACCCAAACATGGAAAATGTGGGTTTGGAACAATTTCATTCATTCAGTCATTCCACCCAATGAGTGGGGGAGTTACTACTCTGAGCAGTTATTGAATCAAGATCAGTATAACACAATATAATAATAAGAGCAGTAATACCGTGACTTTAAAAAAAAGAAAGATAATTAAATTTCAAAAATTAATAGGCAGCTGGCAGAGAGAGGTTCTCCAGTCCGTTTTTGGCCTAAGGTTTACAGGTCACAAAAGGGTCTAGTCACATAGATATACCTGACTGCCAACAGAAAATGTATGAAAACCGAGCCAAAACATATTTGAATTTTCTGTTGATTCCAGCATACCCATTCCCCTCCCCTTTCGACAAGCGAGCGAAGACTAATAAGACTTAATAATTCTCGATTTGCAACGAATCAAAATAGGAATAATAATATTTTTTATTTTGGGGCAGGTCACTCGGAACTCCAGCTTCCCTTTGGGCAAGGGAGGAGAAACCCAACCGTCCAGGGGACGCACGGCCGGGAAAGTTACCCCTGCCATGGCTTGTGGTCTCCCAAAGTAGCTTCCCCAAAGGGCGTCCCGCGGGCCGGGCCTCGGGCGGCGCGGGCTCTTGGGCGGC